TGTACTTTATGCCGTCAACCGCCATATAACCTTCACTATGCTGAACTGCTGAATTGCTATCTGCGCATGCATTGTCGCGCACGTACATAAGTATATAGGCAATGATTGGATGAACTCTCCTTATCGTCAAAATCAACCAATAAAACCCGCATTCCACAGTACCCCTACAGTATTGTACATAGATTTTGTAGCCATTGACCATGTTCAGCAGACTGAGCAGATCAGTGAGCGCTTAGTGATTCTTCAATATGATTGGTTTCTACACTTAGATCCAATTAAGATCTAAAGGCAAGATTCAATCATATTAAAGAATCACTAAGCGATCACTGATCTGCTCAGTCTGCTGAACGTGGCCATTATCTACGCTGAGATCACGCGAGCTAGCGGTCTAGTGTAGTATATAGAAGTCTGTGTATAAATGTTCCGTCTATTATATGGGTGATTCTCTGTGAACGCGTAAATTTCAACTTTCAGTTTTTAAAAAATAATTATTATTAACTAACGGATAGCGGTGAATTATGTTTTTTCATTTTAAGTCACCATTTTAAGTCACCATTCGTAATATGAATACGTGACAATGCAATATAAAAAACTTATCTATGTTTTTTATGTCAATATACCACGGAGATTACAGTCCACGGAGATTACGTTTTTTGAGAATTACCCATATAAGTCTATGGGTGTGTTTTGCCGAAGTTAGCGCTACGTAGCGCTACGTAGCGGCTTCATGTAGCAATTGCAACTGCTGCGTTACTTCTGCTGGACAGTATTGCTACGGACAGCATGTTCTAAGTAGTGGCCGCCATTTTTGTAATACTTTGACACTTTTTTTGCCATTTTTATAAATAATTAAAAAACACAGTTTAGCAACCGAAGAATACAACGGCGATTTGTATTTGATGAGAGTGGTATTATTTCAACACATTGAGAGTAGTATTATTTGACGTTGATGCGTATTAATCTGTTAGTGACAGAAAGAAAGTGTGAAAAATTTTAATAAAGAGAGGATTAAGAAGAAGAAATTTGACACTAAAAAGTATATTAATCAAATTTCAATTGAACACGATCATCCTTATATTGCAGCATTAATTTATAATATTATTAATTTAGATCAATATTCTATAGAAGTCCCCTTACGAAAAAGAACTACTGCCGATTACATATAAATAAAGTCAGTAATATAAATATTACTGACAATCACATAAGAATAGTAGTAGATATTATAGGAATCACTGAGAATATTACTGGCAATTACACAGAATCCCAGTAATTTTTTCGTACCACTGCCGCAATATATTACTGCCAGTAGTTCTTTTTCGTAAAGGTCATAAGTTACATAGCTGGATTTATTGTAAGACATTTAATTAAATACATCATGTGTGATATTTGTGTTAATGCCTTAATTGATAATAGTAAATCAAAGAAAATTATACAAATAAAAGATCGTAGAAGTTTAACATATCTTTCAGAAAGCGTGATAAAAATATGCCTTGAAACAGAAAAGATTATCAGATTTGCTATAAAAGAAAATAATATAACTTTTAGTTCAAAAGATTCTGTTCTTTATATTACACAAAATGTACTTTTAACTTTAAATATGATTAATATATTTGAAGAATTGATAACACCCCTTACGAAAAAGAACTATTGCCGATTACATATAAATAAAGTCAGTAATATAAATATTACTGACAATCACATAAGAATAGTAGTAGATATTATAGGAATCACTGAGAATATTACTGGCAATTACACAGAATCCCAGTAATTTTTTCGTACACCACTGCCGCAATATATTACCGCCAGTAATTCTTTTTCGTAAAGGACATTCATATGATCAAAACTTTTTAACATGTTATAGAATAAATTTAATTAAAAGTATTATAATAAAATATGTACAGACAAGAGATTTTTTTCTATTGTAAACAGGGACTTATACCGGTATGCAAAATACCGGTATTTTATTACGGTTTTTGGTAATGTATCGGTTTCGGTACTATAACGGTAACGGTAAGACTCAATTTCGGTCATATATGTAATACTCCTATATTGCTAGTCGCGTATCTTCGCAATGAGAGGCACGAGGCCCGAGAAAGGGAGACGCACGAAGTCCAAATATGGGCATAGATGGTCGAGCGTCATTATGCGCAGGCGCATCTACCAAGTGAGTGCGAGCAAGACAAAGCATTAGAAAGTGAGAGAAAGAACGCGAAAAAGAGAAATGCGCAAGCGTGCTTGAATGTTCACAGCATGCGCACAAAGCAGCTGGAGAGAGAGGCTACTATATTGTCTGCACCGTAACGGTGAGCTTCAGGTCGGCACCGTACTAGCAATATAGGAGTATTACATATATGATTTCGGTACTATATCGGTTTCGGTATACAATCTCTAGTATAATACCGGTATTGAAATCATACCGGTATTAAGTCCCTGATTGTAAAACAGAATAATAAGAATATTAATGTAAGCAAGAGACATTTTTATAATAAATTAATATTATTTGCAGGACAGTAAATTATGTTTATAAGTTATTTTTTTCATTTACTTATTTATTTACCTATATTTATTAAATGTTATAAATATCTATAATATAATATTTATAATTAATATTTATTAAATTTTGTTTTTTTTGTTAGTTTTTTAAGTAAATATGTTTATTAGATTTCTTAAAATATCATTCTGGGCATTATTCCATCAAAGTATTGTAAAGTTCTAACAGATGGCAGTACTAGTAGCCCATATAAACATGGCTGCATAGGCTTCATCTTTTTTCGACAACGCTCCCTCCTTTATCTCCATGTTTAGAGGTCAAACCCCCCCCGCACTATGGCTTCACTCCCCGCGCCTATAATATCCCTTAAGCCTCTTGCACAATGGACGGAATAGCGATAGCGATAGAAATAACAAAAGTTTTAAAGAGTTTATATTTAAAAATAAAGATAGGAACAGCGGAATCTAACATACAAAACTACACATATATCAATGCAGATCAGAAAATCGGAATAAGCAATAGCAATAAAATTTCCGACGCGAGTTGGAATTCTGTGTTAAAAACTGTGTTATTTCTATCGCTATCGCTATTCCTTCCATTGTGCAAGGGGCTTTAATGCTCCCTCCTTTATCTCCATGGTGGAAACTGGACCAGTGTTGCCTGTGTACGTATTTGGAAAGCACCCTATACTGCCTATTCTCATTGTAGACTAGCCATAAGTCCCTGCGGCTGTTTTACCAACAGAAGAAGTAAAATCGGTAGAGTCAGTCGACTTGGCGACATGCAACACGAATTTTAGACGTTCACGGTCCCCAGCTATATGCGTTCGTTTGTCACGCACAACTGTAAGTAACACGTTCAGTGTGACCGTCTCGTTGATCGAGCTGCTGTCAAACACGGTATTCCAAAGAGACGACGTTAGTGGACGCCATGATGGTAGGTGGAACCTATTATCAATCGCCGGCGATCTGTTCGCGTAAAACGCGTTCAATTGCGGCACGACCAAACTCCGTACATCTTTAAACGCATTATTTAATAAGCGAAAAAAATGTTGCAGGACGGAATATGTGACACCGCCGACATTCTAAAAAACACACCTCCCAAGAAGGTTTTTATAGTGTTTTTCTTCTTTTGTTTTTTTCTTTCTGCGTATTGTATGATTTCTTACATGATTATTATCTGCTAATTTGATAACATGTATCGTGAAATTATTACACACCGAGAAACTGTCTTTTGTTTTTCGCGTTATCTGTAACTATTCTATATGTGTGTATTATGCGTCTATTGATGGACTTGTTTTTTCTTTCAGACAATCCACACTAACACCATAGATCTGTCAGATAAGTCTTTGCAGGTAGATATTTCAGATGCTCTCAGTGAGAAGGACAAAGTGAAGTTTACTGTACATACAAAAACTACTCTATCTGAATTTCAAAAGCCAGATAATTTAGTGGTGAGGCAGCATGAGGAATTTGTGTGGTTACACGATCGGTTTGAGGAAAATGAGGAGTATGCTGGTTACATTGTATGTGATATTTTTGTGTTTTGTTAATGATATATTGTGTGAACTAACAATAGCTTTGTTTGACTTGTTTATTCATTTTATACACAATTAAATATGATATTAGATTCCACCATGTCCACCAAGACCAGATTTTGATGCATCACGTGAGAAATTACAGAAACTTGGTGAAGGTGAAGGAAATATGACACGTGAAGAATTTAATAAGATGAAGCAAGAATTAGAAGCGTGAGTTTCTTGTATCTTTGAATAGAATAATTAAAAAAAAAACATTGATTTTTACTTTATTCTTTTATAGAGAATATTTAGCCACTTTTAAGAAAACTGTTGCTATGCACGAGATGTTCTTGACTAGGTTAGCAAATCACCCAGTGTTTCGAAATGATCATAATCTGAGAGTGTTCTTAGAATATGATCAAGACCTATGTGTACGAGGTAAATAAGTTAATTGAATTTACATTTGTTTTGAATCTTATTGAAGTATCTTATATTCTGTGTGTAGTATTTTGTAATAAGAAAAATATCTAAAACAATCTAAACAAAAATTAATAAATTTTATGTATGTATATAAATAAAAAATGCTTGGTTTATTTTTACAGGAAAGAATAAAATGGAAATGTTTGGTGGTCTAGTAAAGTCTTTTTCCAAAACTACTGATGAGTATTACTTATCGGCAACAGTAAAGGATGTAAATGACTTCTTTGATCAGGAAATGACATTCCTTCAAACTTATCATAACAATTTAAAAGAAGCAACGAGGCTTGCTGATCGCCAAACAGCTAAGCACAAAGATGTAGCGGATTCGTATATAAAAATATCTACTAATCTTTTACAATTAGCTACAACGGATACTGGAAAACTGGAGAAATTTTTAACTAAGATTGCTGAAACCTTTGAGAAGTTACGGGTAAAAACATTTTACTGGTAACTCAGGGGTTTAAGGACGTTCTCCGAATTATTGATTTTCCTAGGATTTTCTTTAAATTTGCGATATACATAGTTTATGATCTTATTTATACGTAGCCTTTTTGGATAATAGGGATAGCAATGTTAAATTCCAAAATATGGAAGATTTAAGTTTCAATTTTTAACATGGATTTCCTATGCTGAGCCTTTGTGAAGTGGGGTTTTTTAAAGTTACTGATGGCAATTTTTGTAGAATTTTTTTAAAAAACAAGTATGTGGTAGCGGAGAGTGTCTTAATTAAAATACGATTTTGAATAATATGGCAAGCAACCCTTGTTTTCAAACTGTAGCTTTTTTTTTGTTTTTTTGGGGGGTTTTTTTTTGTTTTGCTGGATTTATGTGCGCTGTGTACTGCAGCTATTTTTGAACTTCTGCGCAGAATAAGCGGGTCTTAGCAATGCTGAATAGCTCAACTTAACTTTGTTACAGCAGTACAAACTTACTCATGAGAAAAGATATTCTAGGTTGCTAACCACTGTAGTCGGAGAACGTCCTTAACTAATTACATTTGTTCTATTTAGAAAAAATACTCTTTTCTTTTTGTAGAAAGTTGAAGGGCGAGTAGCTTCGGATGAAGATTTAAAATTATCTGACACTCTTCGTTATTATATGAGGGACACCGCCGCAGCTAAAAGGCTTCTTTTTAGAAGACTGAAAGCTTTGCACGAATACGAAACTGCAAATCGTGCTCTTGAAAAAGCTCGTGCCAAAAATAGAGACGTTCACGCAGTAAGTGCAAGTTTTCCATAAAATTTCCAAATATATACATTTATATATCAATCCTGTGTAATATCTTCAACTCAAGTTATAATTTTTAAATATAGAGTGAAAGAATAAAACAGATACGACGAAATATTTTTTCTTTAACACATCACATGTAAGGTATTATTAAGAGAAAATAACTGTTAAACTGAAATTGTGCAGTTACTAAATATTACAATCAATTTACAATAATGAGTAGCACATCTAACCAGAAATTTTAATTTTTCTTGCTTTTCAAGGCACTGGAGGTTGCTGAGGTGTGTCATATGATTGTTTGTGTCATACATATAATGTTCGTTATATGCTTGAAAGACATGTTAGGGATTTTACATTATTAATATTTTTTTAATTAAAAAAGCGCAAAAAGCTTTTATTAAATTTAAGAATTGTAAATATTACGTGAGAAAAATTTTGCAAGGTTTTATTAGAGTATTTAGTATATAGTTTTAGTATTGCTATATTAGCATTAGACATAATTCTATGTTATTTTGTTATGAAAAAAACTATGTCTCTACTTGATATAACTTTACAAAAATTCTTTGAATAGATAATTCTTTAATATATTATATTTAAAAAAAAATTGTTTTACGAAAAGTAGCACGAAAAGTGTCTAGTCGAGCACGTATAAATAATTGCATGCACCTGGATTGCATAGATGATAATTTCCAAGTTGTATTAGTAATATACAAAACTTAGATAGTTCATTGTATATAAACATATTAAAAACTTTTGATTGGAACTAGAGTTGAGTACTTCTAATAATTTAAGAACTTATTTTACAATAAGGCGGAACAAGCGCAGACTGAGGCGTGCGAAAAATTTGAACAAATGTCTGATAAAGGAAAAGAAGGTCAGTTAAAAAGATATATCCGCATTATTGCTTAAAACCAGGCTATATACAGTCGTGACATTATCACTACTTTTAACTTTTTTATCTTTTAGAATTGTTGGACTTTAAGACTAGACGAGTGGCTGCATTTAAAAAGAATCTCATCGAACTGACGGAGCTGGAAATAAAACATGCTAAAGTAAGCGATTTTTTACTTCTTATGCTGAATATGCGGTAAATATACATAAAAAGGGAGCAACTTCTGATAACCTTGATTTTAACATATAGTATCGATATCATGGCTCTAAGTGACCTTTAAGGTAGTTCCCGTGCGAAGTCCTATTCAAAAGTGAAATCTAGTGTCAGTACAAAAAATTATATGCTTAGCGATACTGCACTGTCTTTTACGTTTACATTACTCGTATGACAACAAGCAAGAACTTGTTTTTATTAAACGACAAAGGGAAAATCGGGTGATGCGTCCAAACTTTTGACCGATACTGTACGTCCAAAACAAATCAGAAAAATGTATAGCTATGTATAACTATGTATTGAAACGGTAAAACCTAAATTTTTTTTCAAATATTCGTAAAATGTTTCTCTATAATATATTTGTTTTTTGTACAAATTTATAGAGTCGTTTTGAAATTAAAAACAAAAATAAGCTGTTTAGATGTATAGGGAATGTATGTTAATAACGCCTACTTTGATTGTGAATATCTCGCTTCACAATCGATCAATTTCTTTGAAATTGCGTCAATAATTGTAAATCGTCATTGTTAACATTCCATTTAAGTTTTATTAAATTCTATAGAAAAGTGGTTTTGCACGGGAACTAACTTAAGATTTTTGGTGATGGTCACTATTCGTTAAAAAGTTATTAACAAAAAATAATACATCAACAAAATTAAATTTCTGTCATACATAAAAAGTAATTGGAAAGTAATTAAACACACGAACCCATGTGAAACAGTAAGATTATAACCAAATTGGAAAGGCGACCTTACAGCCTATGCTTGTCCACGGATGGAAGTGGTATGAAATCCTTAAACGTATTCTTTAATAAGACGTTTCGATCGTTCTTTATTTTTTGATCATCATTCAGCCACTTTATACGTAAAATAAATAATGAAAATAAAATACATAAATCATAGAAGTAATAGAGAAGTAATACAATTCGAATGAGTGGCAATAAACACAAGTACGCACCTTAATAAATTTTCAAATAGGTAAACCGCTATTACACGTCAACAGGACGTCAAATCATATTTAATTTTCCTAGACAACAATCCTCGAGATCTTCCATAACTATATCAGCTATGATCGGTGAGAGAGGGGATCCCATGAGAGTACCGAATGTTTGTTGATATGTATCCCCATTGAATGTGAAAAAAGTTGACGATAAGACAAACTCCAATGCTCGAATGAAAGAATCAAGTGGTATCTGTATGATCTTTAATAAAATCCCATCTCCTCACGCCATCCAAAGCTAAATCTAATGGTATGTTGAAAAGTAAGACGACATTGATATGGTGATTTTGGATAGAACAATGTAGAGATTCTTGATTCGGAACAATTTTATTACAGAAGGTTGATTTCGGAAATGCTACATATAAAAATACAAAAGAACGGCTTAATGAAAGATACAGAATTGCTTGACTCCGCATATATTCCGTTAATAGAGAAATTTAGTTCTTAATTCGGATCTTGCTTTCTCGTCCTCTCACCAAACATGTTTGTCAGACTCGGTTAACACCTTTGTTGCGCGGCATTGATCAATTGTTGTTTGTACATTGCGAGAGACGGTTGTGTGTGTGGCAATGACTGCTGTTGCACGTTGTCGTGAGAGGAGTCGTCATGTTTTTTAGTTTTCCAACTGATTGTAAGTTTGACTAAGTGATTTTTATAATTTTTTATGACATCTATGATTTTTACCTTTTTGACTATCTAATTTATTTATTGAATTTTATCTTTTACCACTAATTAATTTATTAAAAATAGTATGCATAATAAAAAATAGTATTCTAATTGGGTCGAGAGAAATTTAATTTAAACTATCTTTTCATCTTTTGGTTTTCTTACACTTTTATTTTTCGCTCTTAGAAACACCGATATGGGATCTCTGACCTCTATTTATCGGATTGACTCTTTTCACTTGTTGACGTGTAATAACGGTTTACCTATTTGAAAATTTATTAAGGTGCGTACTTGTGTTTATTGCCACTCATTCGAATTGTATTACTTCTCTATTACTTCTATGATTTATGTATTTTATTTTCATTATTTAATTTATTTTACGTATAAAGTGGCTGATGATGATCAAAAAATAAAGAACGATCGAAACGTCTCATTAAAGAATACGTTTAAGGATTTCATACCACTTCCATCCGTGGACAAGCATAGGCTGTAAGGTCGCCTTTCCAATTTGGTTATAATCTATTGCAAGGCCTGTTTTTATTCATTTTAGTAAAATTATAGAGTTTTGCTTTGTTCTATAAGCAGGAGAAAGAGTAAGGTAACTGCTACGTACAAGACATGTTACATCGCAGTTACAAAGTGGGAAATTATAATATTAATGTTACGTTTCTGTTACTTTGTGTTTACTGAGAAACGAGATCTACTATTCTACCTTCCTTCACTGCTGCTTACGGAATGAAGCGAAGTCTATAGATGTTCTGTTCTACATGGATTTCCAATTTTCCACGCGAAGCGAGGGCCCTTCAGCTTTCCCTGCTTTGAGGCAAAACGAGATCTATGATTATAGTGTGCAACATGAATTTGCGTGTCCAGTTACTTTCCAAGTTCTATGTATGACAAATGTTATTTTGATGTATTATTATTTGTTAATAAGTTTTTAAGAAAGATAAATCTCTCTCTAAGTCTCTTTCTAATAAGTTTTTAAGAAAGATAATCTCTCTCTATTTGTTAATAATTTTTAATAAACAGTGACTATCATCTTTTTGAAGGTCATTCAGGGCCATGATCTTAATACCATGTGTCAAAATGAAGGTTTTCAGAAGCTGCTCCTTTTTTATGTATACTTACTGTATGTAATAATTCTGTTTGTAACATGTCAAAAATTTTGTTTACAGTCACACGCGGAATTGCTCAAGAAATGTTTATCAGTACTTCGGGAAGAGTGATCTAGTTCGAGTGTTGGTGACATGGATAAATTTCAATGTATTCATACTGTATGCAGATAACAATTTATTTAAGATTATATTACATACATACATACATACACACACGCACGCGACACATACGCCCACACACACACACACACAGAGAGAGAGAGAGAGGGGGGAGAGAAGGAAAGGGCGAGAGGGAGGGGGAGAGGGAGAGAGAGAGAGTGTTGTCTGAAAATTTTTGACATAGCCGAAGAAGATAAATTGAAACCAATGAATGAATATAAGGCCTTACGAGCCGTTCTCAAGGTGTTTGAGCGAGAACTTATACATGTATAAGTATACACATGTAACGAATTCACTTGTAAATTTTTACAAGATAAATTGAGTTAATCTGAATAGAAAGATCACGTGTAATTTTGCAAAATTCACAATATTTATTGAATGAGTAATTAATACATGTGAGCGCGGAAGCAATGATCCAGACTCTGTAGACGTATATGATTTTTAGTTGTAAAGAAAAATGATTTATTTCAATGTAATCTTTTAACAAGAGACAAAAGAACAAACAAGCGAGTGGCGTGTAACATAGCTTCTTGCAATTAGCTGATTTTCACAATTGAAATCATTTACGCTTACAGACTATCGTTTATCACGCACTCATTGTGTTACATGTATTAATCACTAAATAACTCGCGAATTTCACAAAAAATGGTAAATTACTTTTCTGTTTACATGGATCTTTCTTGACATTTCGTTTGTAACAAAAATTTTCAGACACCCTCTGTGTGTGCATGTACGTGCATGCGTGCGCGCGTGCGTGCGTGCGTTCGTGCGTGTGTGTGTGCGCGCGCGCGCGTATGTATATGTACACAAGGTGTTTCAGACTACTCGTACATCTTAATTAAAAACGAAGGAAATGGTTATTGTGAAAAATGTTTCAGACGAAAGTTATTGAGGATTAAGTAATGCATTACAGGGGCATGTGCGATTGATCTTGAGTGGCATCATAAAAGTCATGTTAAGATCAAAACCTTGGATTTTTTTATACGGGAATCCATATATTTCATTGTATATTCTTGTAGCTGACGTCAAGAGGTTCTTGAAACATTGGTTACAAACTCTTTTTAGTTAAGATCTTCCAGAGTTATAAAACTTCAAAATTTTAGTACTGCTAACGTTAGCATTACCCAAAATGTATCGCATGAAGGTCGCATAGTCGAATTTACATCTCTTCGTGTTTGATTAATGTGAATCTCCGAAGAGATGTAAATCGTGCGATGTCCACGTGGTACATTTTTGGTAATGCTAATGTCGGTGGTATTTAAATTTTAAAATCTTATAAGTTAAGAAGATCTTAACTAAAAAGAGTTTATAATCAATGTTTCGAAAACGCCTTGACGTCAGGTACAAGAATATGCAATGAAATATATGGGTTCCTATTTTAAAAGTTCAAGTTGACTGTGAACTACATGACCTTCATGGCGCTACTCAAGGTCAATCGTATATACCTATATAATGCATTACTTTATTATTTTCAACAACTTTAGTCTGAAACAATTTTTAAAATAATCACTTCTCTCGTTCTTAAATAGAGTGTACAGACGGCGTCATTAATTCGAAGAATAG